CTAAGGAAACCGGATAGTATAGTTGGGCCTCTGTATCTGTGGGTTTCTCACCCTTGGAGTCAACCAGCTGCAGATTACAGGCAGTGCATAGGGATGGCCAACTGTGACGTGTCATTTTCATATCAGGTACCTGGTCATTTGCGGATGTGGTATCCATGGGGCTTTTGGTATCCAAGACGTCCTGGCACCAGCCCTGCAGATGTGGAGTGTCTCCTGAAAGTTGCTTTTTACCTCTCCCCTTTTCTCAGGCTTACTTTTCATTCCACTCACATTAAAGGCCAGAATCCTTCCAGTGCCCTGAAGTCCCCACAGCATCTGCTGCTCACCCCACCTCCTGACCTTTCTGACCTTGTTGCCCGTCACCATCCTCTTGTCTTCAGTGGTCTCTGTGTCCCTTGCACATGCCAGGTATACTCCTTTCTGCGGACCTTAACTCTGATTATTTCCTGCCTTCCTGCCTGGAATGTTCTTCTCCTAAATAAATCATTTTGTTTCAGCTGATTTCCTCACGTCCTTTTTGTCTAACCGTGGCCTCTTGAATGACTCCTGCCCTGACCAACCTGTTTAAATTATAGTTTACCACCTTCACAGCAGCCCTGCTCCTCCACCCCATCTTGATGTTCTGTTTTTTTCCATAGTACTTATCAATTTCTAATATTTATTTATTTGGGAGGAAAGTTTAATGGGGGCAGGGATTTCATTTTGTTTACTGACGTATATATTAAGTGCTTACCTAGAACAGTGATTGGCACTTAGTAGATATTCACTGAAGAGAAGGATTGTTTTAGTTTCCTGTGGCTGCTGCAACAAATTCACAAAACCTGACTTTTTTTTTTTTTTAAAAAGACAGAGTCTCACTTTGTTGCCCTCCATAGAGTGCTGTGGCATCACAGCTCACAGCAACCTCCAGCTCTTGGGCTTAGGCTCTTGTCTCAGCCTCCTAAGTAGCTGGGACCACAGGCACCCACAACGCCCAGCTGAGACCACAGATACCCACAACATCCAGCTAAAAACCTGCCTGTTAAAGAGAATAGAAATTTATTCTCTGCAATTGTGGAGGCCAAAAGTCCAAAATCAAGGTGTCAGGAGGGCCCAGTTTCCTCCAAAGGCTCTGGGGAGAATTCAGGGCTGAATCTATTACTTGCCTTTTCTGGCTTGTGGTGGCTGTGGGTGTTCTTCAGTTCGTAGCCACATCATTCCAGTCTCTGCCTCTGGTCACATTACCTTTTCCGCCTCTATCTTAAAACTCCCACAGCCTCCCTCCGATAAGAATGCATGCAGTTGTATTTGGGGCCCTCCTGGATCATCTAGAGTAAGCATCTCTTGTCAAGATCTTTAACTTAAATCACATCTTTTGTCATACAAGATAATATTCACAGATTCTGTGGATTGAGACAGTGATGTGTATTTCAGGGAACTACTATTCACCCACTATAAAGGGTTAAAACGGGGGTCCTTTGATTACCGGGGGAAGATTTGTCCATGGTGTACCACCTAATAGAACACTGAACTGGGAGGAAAGCCTGAAGGCTGCTTTCAGTTTTTTCCCTCCATTTTTGCTGATCACAATTTTTTTTTTTTTTTTAAATTTGGAGGGAGACAAGAATCTTACTGTGGTGCCCAGATGGGAGTACAGTGTCATCAGCCTAGCCCACAGCAACCTCATAAAACTCCTGGGTACATAAAAGCAATGCTCCTGCCTCAGTCTCCTCAGCAGCTGGGACTACAGGTGCCCACCCCCAGGCCCAGTTAATTTTTCTATTTTTAGTACAGACAGAGTTTCACTCTTGCTCAGGCTGGGGAACACATTCCCTCCCCCCCCCCAAATTTAACACAACACACATATGCACGCACACAGAACAATACAACAGATAATATAATTTCCTTACACTGCCTCCCCAGTTGTTAACATACTGATACAGTTGCTTCGTATCTTCTGTTGTTCCTCTTATAGCAAAGTAAACATTACAGATAAAATCTCTTATCTTCTCTTTCCTATTTCCATTTCCCTCCCTTCCAATCTAGAAACAGTCACTGTCATTTGGTTTATGACTAGTCTATGGTTTTATAGCTTTGTTGCACATATAACTATTTATACATAATATGGAGTTATGTGTGCTTGTGTTAAAAATGTTTTTCCTAAATGGTATTATACTTTATGTAGCATGTTGCAGTTTGCTTTTTTATTAGTTCAGGTTCATACATACTGATCTAGTTCATTCATTTTAACTACAGCACTAAGCAGCTGTCCTCTCTCCTTCCCTCTTACTCTCCCTCCCCCTTCCTGGCTTCAGAATATATAAATCCCAAAGAAGTCCTCTGATTAGCCTAGCTTGGGGCTCCTGCCAGCACCTGTTGGGTCTGTGGCTTCAGCAGATGGAGCAGTAGGATTGCATATAGAGTACATGCCTTCCTATACCCAGAGCATCAAGATAATGTTTGCTTTTCCCCTATGAAGGATTGTACCTGGAATAAGTGGAGAAAGTATTTGGAGCAGACAAAAAATACAGATTTCTACTTTGTGTCAAGTTTCGGCTTGGACATTATGTCCTCTGGGAAGCTTTCTTGAAGTCTTGGGATGGTGTTCTGCCCTTTTGCTCTATGATTGTAACAGCTATCATGTATCTTAATTCCCTTTCCTTTTGATGGATACTCATTCAGGGCAGAGTCTGGGTCTGTCTTGTTTTATAGTCGCTCCTTGTGAAATACAAGGTCCAGCACACACCATCACATAGAGTTTTTTTTTTTTGAGACAGAGCCTCAAGCTATCGCCTTAGGTAGAGTGCCAGCTCACAGCTCACAGCAACCTCCAACTCCTGGGCTCAAGTGATTCTCCTGCATCTGCCTCCCAAGTAGCTGGGACTACAGGTGCCCGCCACAGCGCCTGGCTATTTTTTTTGTTGTTGTTGTTGTAGCCGTCATTGTTGTTTGCTGGGCCCAGACTAGATTCGAACCCGCCAGCTCAGGTGTATGTGGCTGGTGCCTTAGCCGCTTGAGCCACAGGCGCCAAGCCTCAACACGTAGTTTTGAGTGAATGGTTCAACTGACTAGCAGAACTTTTCAACCTGACTTTCTATAAACAGGTTCCTGTCCACTCCTCCACTCCTGTGAACTCTGTAGGGTTCCGTGTGGCTCTGGTGCTTTTGCATCTACCTTTTCAGGTCAATTAAAATTTTTGCTCTTTTTATATCTCTTGATTTATATGAGTATTTGGCCCTGTTTAGAATTTTATTTTTCTTATTAAGTGGTAAAAATTCAAGGAAAGATAAATTTGCTGAAATGCAAACTCAGGACTTAACTCTGTAAGATCTTCTGAGATGAGACCTGCCCAACTTTTTTCTTTCACCAGTGCCCCTTTACCTTTCATGTATGTACAGTAATTTCTGTCCAATCTCAAATATGCCATCAGCAGAGTATATTTTATGCAGATTTCTAAGTACCTTTCTGAGTACTTTTTAGCATCAAGAGAATTTGGATTCTAGTGGATATGAAGTATGAATTCTTCTGTTTGGAAATAGTAATATTGATGATAATTAACATTGATTGAATGCTTTTTCTATGCTAGGCATTGAGAAGTAGGTACTGTCTTTATTCCTGTTAACCTTATGCAAAACTGGATTTTGGAGAGATCAGTGATTTGCTCCAGTTATCTCAGCTCCTGACTGTGGTGTCGGGATATGAACCCACACACTCTGAGCCCAGAGCCACACTCCTAAGAATGTGTTCTGCTGCCGCCTGTGAGTAGGAAAAGAAACCTGGTGCTTAGTAATAGAAAAGGACATGAGGTTGATCATAGATTAGCAGTAAAGTTTCTACCCTACAGCTTTGGTAAAGATAGAATCAACTAGAGTCCTAGAACTTTCTCTCTGTGAAGAGAGAAAGAGCCAAGATGTCTGGCAGTGGGGCTGAAGCCACTTGCTTTGGCATGAACTAACACTGTCTTACCTGGAATATTGGAGAGAATATTTGAGAAATACAGGGTACCCACCACATTTTCCGTCTCCAACATGCAAGTTGGTGTGTAGCCCTAGGATCTTGGCTGGGGTAGGAATCATTTAACCAGGAGAACGCTGAACATCTGGGTAAACATTTAGATACAAATTTCACATGAATACTGACATGAAGCAAAGCACAAGGACTTTATAAGCATCTCATTGAAACTTTGTGGAAGTTTGTAGCAGTTAGGTAATGGAATCTGGTTAGATGATACCATTATTATTGAAGATGTGTGCAAGGCCATTGATAAACTGCTTTTTTTTCCTTTGTTTGTGCTATTTTAAATCAATATACACAGAGTTATTTCTTACATTTTCAAGAATAAAACTCCTACATCAGAGGAAATTACTGGTATCACTAAACCTGATGGGAAAATCTGTATTATATCAAACCTGTCTCCTATGCTAGGTTACTATAAGCACCCTCCAGGCAGGGGCACTGTTTTCTGCTTTCATAGTACTTGGTTCAGTTCTGTGCTAAGTACTGTCATGTGTCACTTAATGATGGGGCTGAGATCTGAGAAATGCGTCATTTGGTGGTTTCATTGTTGTACTCTATGTATTAATATCATAGAGTATACTCACACAGACCTTGATTGGATAGCCTACCACACACTGAAGCCATACAACATAGCCTATTGCTCCTGAGCTACAAACCGTCCAACAAGTTATTATACTGAATACTGTAGGCAATTTTAATACAACACAAGTATTTGTGTGTCTAAACATATCTGAACATGGAAAAGGTAGTATGTAGCATTTCAGTGTTATAGTGGCTACCAAATCACTAGGCTATAGAAAATTTTCAGCTTCATTATAATGTTTTTGGACCGTCATTGTACATTTGGTCTGTCATGATTGTAAATACTCTTGGTTTGTGTTTGGACTAACAGTGGCACTTGCATAGTGTGTCTGTTCCCAAATGCAGTTATCTTATTTCTATTCATAGAAAATAATTACAGGATAAATATTAAAATTAAATTGTGCTTTTTATCCCTACTTTAGGTTGCATCACAGCGCATTAGCTCAGTGGACCTCTCATGTTGTAGCCTGGAACATCTGCCTGCCAACCTCTTCTACAGCCAAGACCTCACTCATCTCAATTTAAAACAAAACTTCCTAAGGCAAAACCCTAGCCTGCCTGCTGCCAGGGGGCTCAATGAATTGCAAAGGTGAGCCAGGGAGATGGATGGCTCCTTAAGGGGGTTGGGGGGCAGAAGCAGCTTCTGGTTATAATCTCTTAAATGTGCTGACTGGAAAAGCCACGGTGTGTAAACTTTCAGAGAGCAGGGTAATAGGACTTTGCTTATTAGGATGTTATCAATTCTCATTCTGAATTCTGTTTTCATGGTTCCTGCCTTTGAAATTAATGCTTTCTCAGTTCGGTGCATGTAGCTCAATGAGTGGGGTGCCAGCCACATACACTGAGGCTGCAGATTAGAACCTGGCCCCGGCCTGCTAAACAACAATAACAACTGCAACAACAACAACAACAACAACAACAACAAAAAATAGCTGGGCATTGTGGTAGATGCCTGTAGTCCTAGCTACTTGGGAGGCTGAGGCAAGAGAATTGCTTAAGCCCAAGAGTTTGAGGTTGCTGTGAGCTGTGATAGACATAGCACTCTACAGAGGACAACATAGTGAGACTGTCTCAAAAAGAAAGAAAGAAATGAATGCTTTCTGGCGTTTATTAACTGGATAGATTTGTACAAGAACAGTTCTCGTCCAGCCACTATTATTCCATAACCTGTCTAAAAATGCATCTGCAAAAAGTTAATAACATATTGTGTTACTTCTGAACTTAAGGGGTTTGTTCAGATTAAATTATTTCTTTTGAAATTTGCAAATCAGTTTTTTCTATGAAAAGACATTCCTTAGAAATTTAAGAACTAAGGTTTAAGTCTTTTAACATATTAACACCAAGTCATCTGAGAGATGAGTGTACGTGTTTGAAGAGTCACATGTTATACAAAGAAAATCTCCTTCAGAGAGATTTTCAAATCTCCAAAACAAAGATACATGTGGAATTTACCATATCCATTTCCTTTCTTGTTAGAGTAATACTCTTGATTCTGTGGTAAATTAAGCCTCTGGTATTTATATATTTATTGCAAACATACAAGACTATAACTGTAAAAGACACAATTATTTTAAATAAATAATGGCTAGTTCTTTTGTTTTTAAATAACTGATATGGGGAGGGCATGGTGGCTCATGCCTGTTATCCCAGCACTCTGGGAGGCCAAGGCAGGTGGATTGCTTGAGCTCAGGTGTTTGAGACTAGCCTGAGCAAGAGCGAGACCCCGTCTCTAAAAATAAAAAAATAGCCAGTCATTGTGGCAGGTACCTGTAATTCCAGCTACTTACTTGGAAGGCTGAGACAAGAGAATCGCTTGAGCCCAAGAGTTTGAGGTTGCTGTGAGCTGTGACACTACGGCATTCACCCAGGCTGACAAAGTGAGACTCTGTCTCCAATCAGTCAATAACTGATATGATCAGAGATTAAACTATGGCAGTTAACCATTCTGATTCTGTGTGTGTGGCTTTTTAACAACTAGAAAGAATAATCCAATAATTGTTTAAATAAAATTTGTGGATATACTTGGAAAATGGAAAAGTATTTTAATTGTTTTTCCAGATAATTGTGACTATTCTTCTTTGATATTACACCAAAACTTGACAAGTGGTCATTTCTTAAGTGTTAGTTCTGAGATCTAAAAACTTTTGAATTCTTTAATATTAAGATCCATTGATTGGTCTTATACCTTGAATCTTTATCCATGCACCATTTTTTGCATGAAGTGTTGGTCATTTGCAAAGTACTGGCTCCTTGTGTAATACAGATATTCCAAATGTTGACACATTCATTTGTACAGTTTCAAGAATTTACATTTGTTATTATTACCACTGATCTCATCAGACAGGTCTTTAAGTGTTAGGAAGTTTCAAGCTTACTGTGGAAACAAGGTTTTCAAAATTTTGGTTTTCTATCAAAAGCTCGAAGGCTATATGTCATTGGCAACAAACATCATCAGTTTTTTCTGAAGCAACTTTCTCATTTCATTTTAAAGAAAATGACTGTCGGCTCGGCGCCTGTGGCTCAAGCGGCTAAGGCGCCAGCCACATACACCTAAGGTGGCGGGCTCGAATCCCCAGCCCGGGCCTGCCAAGCAACAATGACCGCTGCAACCAAAAAATGGCCGGGCGTTGTGGTGGGCGCCTGTGGTCCCAGCTACTTGGGAGGCTGAGGCAGGAGACTCGCTTGAGCCCAGGAGTTGGAGGTTGCTGTGAGCTGTAATGCCATGGCACTCTACCCAGGGGGACAGCTTGGGGCTCTGTCTCAAAAAAAAAAAAAAGAAAATGACTGTCAAATACCCAAGTACAAATAACAATAGTTTTGCCAGTGGTTCTTTCAAGTAAAAAGTGGTATTCCATGTAAATAGTGATTGCTTTCACTTGCAACCCAAGTCATCACGTTAAGTGTTTTCCTTGAGATGCCATCATAACTTCAGGGTGCACCAAAAGTGTTTTATGTTTACTTCCTATTTTATCACCCAGAAAATTAAAAAGACATGTACTCAGGGGTTGAGATGTAATAAAAATAACTTGCCTGCATCATCAAGAACATCCTTAAGCCAAACTGGCATTACATACATTTTAAAAGAATATTTTTACTACATATGCCTGGTGGAGAAGGGGACAGTCTGGTGCTTTAGTGAGTTAGTTACATAGTGTAGAGACTCCAGTAAGAAAGGTGTGCTCAACCAACTCCTCATTGTTCCTGGTAGCTGATGGGTACTATGAAAGTTAACCCACAGTGGAATTCTTAAATTAGGTTTTTATATGCCCTATGCATTGATATTAATATTTATTCTGAGACTACTGTAAGAAAATTAATACAATTTTTTTTCTTTTTTTTGCTGAAGGGTTATATCATTATTCAAAATCTGTTCTGAGGTTTGAAATTATTTTGAAATCTTTGTGCATTTCACAGCAGTGTAGAATTCTGTTGTTTCTATTGTAGAATATCTAGAACTTTGTATTATACTATAGAATCCTGGTGTCTTAGAATAGGGCATTAAAATTCATTTAAACTAGTGCTCTCTTTTTAGAGGTGACATCTATAGGGATGTTAAATACCAATTTCAGGTTAATGATACCTTCTGGGGAAGAAGTTATGGGATGATTGAGGAATGGTTTAAAGAGAGTTTCAACTATATCTGTAATGCTATTTCTTTAAAAAGAAAAATTAGAAGCAAAAATGTTAATATTTTTAAAAACTAAACAGTGAATACCTGGATGATCTCTATTATTGTTTTCTGTATTTTTCTACTTGAGTATTTTATAATAAGCCTAAACAAAAAGAAAATTAAAATAGTTCTAGTTTGGGTGCAATGGCTCCTGCCTATAATCCTAGCACTTGGGAGGCTGAGGTTGGAAGATTGCTTGAGGCAGGAGTTTGAGATAAGCCTGGGCAACATGGCAAGACCTTGCCTGAACAATAAAAAGGAAAAAAATTAGCCAGGCATGGTGGTGTGAGCCTGTAGTACCAGCTATTGTGGAGTCTGGGGCAGGGGGATTGCTTGAGCCCAGGAGTTCAAGGCTGCAGTGGGCTATAATTATTGTACCATGGCTCTCCAGCCTGGGCAACAGAGTGAGACCCTGTCTCTTAAAAACAAACAAATAAAGCTTCTTATTACATGGGAGAATATGATACTTCTTAAGGACCAGTATTTGTGGAATAAATAAATATCCAGATGGAAAGGTATTTTGGGCACGAGCCTACTTCAGTAGGGTTCAAGTCCTGCTTTGCTGTTTAGTCCCTTACTTGATCCCCATGTATTTTGATTCTGTATCTCTACCCTTTGAGCCCACCCTTCTACTACACACACCCTCTTAGCAACTGTCTAGGAAAAGCACTTCTCAGCTCTCACCTGGACCTTGCACTGATTGCCTGTGGTCATTTTCCCTCTGAGGTCAGCCTCTATTTCTCTCGCCTACTGTCTTGTACCTTTCTTGTTTTTATTGATTTTGTATTTTTGGTGTGTTTTTATTTATTTCATTTTATTTATTTAGAGACAGGATCTGGCTTTGTTATACAGGCTAGAATGCAATGGTGGGATTCTTACTCATTGTAGCCTTGAACTTCTGGGCTCAAGCAATCCTCCTTTCTCAACTTCCTGAGTAGTTGAGATTATAGACACCTGCCACATGCTTGGCTAATTCTTATTTCTTGCCATGACAGGGACTCAAACTCCTGGCCTCAAGTGATCCTCCTCCCTTGGCGTCCTGAAGTGCTGAGGTTGCAGGCGTGAGCCACTGAGTTCAGCTTTTATTATGTGTGTTTTAAAGTTTAAGACATTTTTCCCTATCAAAGTAATATTCTATATAGATTTTTTCAAGTGTTAATAAGCAACAAGGTTTATACTAAGAAATGGGTTGCTGAGGCTTCAGCCCATCCTTATACCCAAGTCCTGTTCTCTAGACAACCATTTTTGAGTCTTTTGGCTCTTTCTGTTGTTTTTTTTCATCTTTCTAAATATTAAACATATACTAGTATGTCTTGATTTTTCATTAGTGGACTTTGTATGTTGGTTTATTACTGTGGAAATAAGAGTTTAGCTCTTTTTATTGTCCCACACTCCCTCTGTCGCCTGAACAAACTTCTTCCCCATCCTCTCTATATAGGTATTAATTTTCTATTAAATCAGTATTCATTTTTTACATTATTATGAGTATGGAACTATTTTCACAGCTAAGTCATATAAATGCAGTGATTACATTTCCTTTCTTGTGCTGGCTGTATAATAGCTTATATGCTTTTCATTTTCTCTAGTATTTGTAAGCTTTCTGACAGAATTCTAACATTCTTCTCAATGCCTTTTTTTTGGCGAGGATTGGGGGGAAGGCTTCTTTCCTGGAGCTGGTATAGATACTTGCTCTTCTGGCTTGCCACACGACAAACACTGTGTGGGTCTTTCCCCTAGAGTGTGTCAGTTTTACTAGATAGGAATTTCTTGGTCTTCTGCTTGGGCAGTGCATGCCAAGATTCAGGGAACTGAGTAGGGAAGAAAGCAGGAATCTCAGGGTTTAGCATATGGATTTTTATTTAATCTCTCAGTTTTCAGAACAGTGTTTTCTGCTATGCCTGATAAATCAGGGACTCTGT